ACCCCTGTTTTACCAATGAGAAAAACTCTGAAAGGCCTGGAGTCAGTTCTTCTAATTCTAAATCATGTAATCCTTTCATTCTTTCACACTTGGCCTCTGGGTTGCCAAAGCTCAATCGATTGGAATGTTTTCTTACCTGCTTCTACTTCCTCAGTAGATGATAACTATTCATGGCTAATGTCTGAGACCTTACTTTTGTCATCCACTAATCTAAGCACTGCATATGAATTATTTAATTTTAGAAACCCACACTCACAGCCCCACTGTACAGATGCAGAAACCAAGATTCAGAGAGGATAAGTTGTTTGCCCCAAATCACACAACTAGTTGATAGAGCTGGGATGTCAATCTAGGTCACCCTGATCCAGTTTATACTCTCTTGACCACTGTATACACTTCCCTGCATTGGAACTGCCTGTCCATTTCTGCAATTGGATTTTCCCAAGAATTCAAGAATTCAAGCAAAGTTTTGCTCTGGAAATATATATATATGTATATAGTACATATACACATATCGTATATACTATATATACACATATGTGTGTATATATATATAAAATATATATTATTAATATATATTACTATATATAGTAATATATACTATAATATATATAATAATATAATATGATAATAATAATGTAATTATATATAATACTATTTTATATATATATATATATATATATATATATATATATATATATATATTATAGCTTGGAGGTAGGGGATGAAGCAAGGAGTAGTGATAATACCTGATTATGAGTTTCACAGTTTCTTCTGATTCATTGTGACTCCAAGTAAAGTCTCTTTCTCCCTGTCAGGTATCTTTAGCCATAAAAATGGGATTACACTTTGGCCACAAGCAGAGAAGAGAAAGAACGTAAAATATTGAGGTGAAGTTGAGGGGAAAATATTTGAGTCCCACAGAATGAAGACATTTTTGTATAAAAAGAAATTAGAAATATCATTAATGGTGATAATTACTACTTTGTAATGAATTAAATTCAGACTTGATAATCTGCTTACCAGAGAAGATAGTTAGAAAATGCCTGAATGTGCTTACATTTTCTGTGCATGAACTGGACTACCCACTGCTTTGTTGATGGTCTTTTCAATGGGACAACACTTCTGGGTTTGCCTTGAGAGGGTCACTTACACACATGATTCTCTCATGCACTGTGAGGGAGAGGCAAGCTCAGTACCTGTGAGGCAATGGCTGGAGAGCACAACAATGATGTCATTCAGCCTTGCTCGGAAGTGACCATTTCTCTGTGGCACTGAGAGGTATTACAAGCACAGAAATTGATGGCTGTTGATCCCATCTGCCTGTGCTTCTCCACATTCACAGGAACTGGGCAAGTCTAACCCTGTCTTCCCTTGATTCACTGAATGAGTGAACTGTATGCGGGTGTCAGAACCCAGTGCTTTTGTGCTGAGAATGTCACATTGTTTCCCTTGGGCTGCCTTACATCCTCAACCTAATCTCAGCTGTTGCCTCGGGCACTCTGTGGTCATTAGTTTCTTGGGGTGTGTGTGGGAGGCAGAGAGACCACAGGGAGCAATAGGGAAGAGAGGAGGGTATGGAGACAGATCAGTGTCACAGTTCTGTACTTGTAGTGCTTAACTGACTTCTGGGAATCCAGCAAAAGGGGATCATTTTAATGCAGCAAAAACCACAGTCAATCGGACGGAGTTGTTTATCAATAGTAGTTGTGGCTGTCATTTAGTTTTTCTGAACAGAGACTGTCCCTGAGCAGAAGATGCCTTTTCGTTGACATAGAAATTATTTTTCTAGATAAACTTTTAAAATCAATGACTTTTGAACATCAGCGTATATTAGAATCACCAGGATGCATGGTAAAATGTCGCACCCCATTACTGGGGATTTTGATTTACTAGGTCTGGGGTGGAGGCCAGGAATTTTATTATTTATTTATTTATCTTTAAAGGATTTTATTTATTTTTAGAGAGGAAGAGAGGGAGAAAGAGAGGGAGAGAAACATCAGTGTGTGGTTGCCTCTCACATGGCCCCCACTGGGAACCTGGCCTGGGGGCATGTGCCCTGACTGGGAATCGAACTAGTGACCCTTTGGTTCGCAGCTTGTACTCAGTCCACTGAGCTACATCAGCCAGGGCAGGAATCTGCATTTTAAAACAAGCATTTTAGGTGATTCAATCAGTAGGCCACACTCCCCAAAGACTGTCTTAGAAATGGAAACTTACAGTTTCCATTTGCTCAGCTTTTGAAATACTGTAGCCTCTTTTGGCTGTCATCTGTTTGTTTAAATCACTTTCTTTATTGAAGGTTTTATTAGCATCTCCATATTTACTACCTGCTTCATTCTCACATCATCACTGTACTAGAGAGGAAACCAGAGGTGGTTAGCTCCACTTTACTGGGAGTGGGTGGGAGCTGGGATTGAGGCACAGAGAGAGGCAGGTCACACTGAGTCAGAGACCAAGGTGGGAACTGAAGTCCAGAACTGATGACTCTCAAACCAGGCAATTTTCTGGGGCCTATTTTCTCAGCTTGTGATTTCATATTTAATCATGGTTATTCCTGATGTGTCTAATTAATTGTGCTTGGGTAAGCAGAGCATATTTGAGTTTTAAACAAAATAGTTTAGCATCAGTGTGGTAATTTTTGTGTAGCACATTGAGGCTCATCTAAGTTTGAGCTAATATCTAGATGGTGATATGTATGGAAATGACTTAACGTGCTTCTCTCTGCCCTTGCTTCCTTAATTATTTCTGAAGACTTTTTACATAAAGTGTAAGGGAACAGGTTCCTCTTTCCCATTCCAATATGAATGCTCTCTGATTTTCTAACTGGTTAAGTACTAAAATAAAAAAAAAAACACCTCTTAGTCCCGTTTCTCAAACTTGAGTAGTATTTCAATCTATTTCTAAAGACAAAAAAAAATTTTTTTAAAAATCTCAGTGTAAATTATTTATTACAATGTTACTTAAATTTATAAAGTAGAAAATGTTTTTCTTTTTAAATCCTAACCTGAGGATATGTTTATTGATTTTAGAGGGAGAGGAAGGGGAAGAGAGAAAGAGAAGCCTTGATGTGACAGAAAAACATCCGTGGTTGCCTCCTACAAGCCCTGACCGGGAATTGAACCCACAACACTTTTGGTGCATAGGAAGATGTTCCAACCAACTGAGCCACCTGGCCAGGAAAAAATATAATGTTCTTTTATTTCTAGTTCTCATACACCAAAACAGATTTACAAATGAAATCCAAGTGAAACCACAAAACTATTTATTTTGATATTATAGTGGCTTAACATGCTGAATGATGTATTTTGCTGAGATGAAATTATCCCTCGTATTGTGGCTATGACATTGTTGTCAAAAGCTCAGCTTCTTTTGAGCTCAATGTGCCACCAAGTGACCTATGATGCCTCTTTTCTCACTACTCTTCTGTTAGTCCCATCATGTCATTTGGCTTTCATTTTGTTCATAAAAACAGTATTTTCACTTTAAATCTACCTCTGTTCTTTTCTCATTATCCCAGAACTATAAAAGCACACTGAAACACACCTGGAAATGTAGGTACTGAAATAGTGGAGCAACACCAGATTACAAAGTGGTCATTCAAATAATCCAGAATATGCTATGGAAATCCAAAAAAATATTGTTAAAATGAAAATAAAATTAAAACCTTCGAGAATACATCCATAGACTTAATTTGAGAAATACTTTTCAGGTCCATTGGTTCCAGAACTTTCACTACTATAGAACTCCCTATCTAGTTTGTTTCTTCCAGGAACCCCATGTTTGGAGAGAAAAAAAAAACTCCCTTCCTAATTGCATTTATTAATAACTTTGCATTTTTATTAATCAGACACACGGAATTTCCATTTTAAAGCTTGTGATCATCATATATAGTTACCATTCTAAGCTGCTTATAGTCCAAAACAAACAGAAAAGACTGGATATTCTAGTTATTCTGTGTTGTACTAACAAGGGTAAATAAAAACTTTCCATTAAGTTTTGTAAGAAAGGCTTCCATCCCCTCAGCTCCTCCCAGTGCTGCCTTGACACTCTTGGAGTTCAGGGAGGCTAGTTTAGCCTTTCTCGTACAGCCACCCCATCCAGTTTGGAAGGATTCAAGCTTGTCCTACTTTTGCTTAATTGTTGTACTTCTAAGCATGCTAAAGACCTAAAAAATGGGAGGAAGAAAATACAACAGAAGGCACCATTCCAGTCCCAAACTGAAAAGAAACACCAAAACAAGAGAGCAGCATGTTTTTAACAGCTTGCATGTAAAAAGCAGGAAAAATATTGACTAGGGAGATTGGACAGCACTGTTCTCTCACCGCCCGCGTTATTTGTCTTAGGAAGCAGGAGCCAGATACACAATTCTGGCTCACAGGCCTAAGGAAGGGGTGGAGGGGTTCTTTAGAAGCTTGAGGCTAGTGGGAAAATGAGTGGCTCCGGGCCAGGATGAAGGCAGGGGAGGCGCTAAATCGTTCTTCTTCCTGGCCTTGAGCATCCTCTTTGGTCCGCCTGAGTCCTAAGAGGTCAGGGAACACGGATCACTTAAGTAGGTAGGTCCTGACCTCTGCAGACCAACCATGAGCCAGATGAATCCTTGCCCCTGTTTCTTTCTGCAGGGGAGAGGACGCGGGGGCTTCATTCGCTTCCCCAGCCCACCTTTCCTCTGGAATTCAGACCTACAGTTCCCGCAACCGGGGCCGGGGGCAGACCTCCACCATCCTGGCAGAGCCTCAGCTACCCGACCTCAGCGGAGCCCGAACTCAGACCACAGCCCAGCTTGCGTGGAGGCGGGGCGGGGCCTGGGCGCGGGGCGGGGCCTGGGCGCGGGGCGGGGCCTGGGCGCGGGGCGGGGCCTGGGCGCGGGGCGGGGCCTGGGCGCGGGGCGGGGCCTGGGCGCGGGGCGGGGCCTGGGCGCGGGGCGGGGCCTGGGCGCGGGGCGGGGCCTGGGCGCGGGGCGGGGCCTGGGCGCGGGGCGGGGCCTGGGCGCGGGGCGGGCGGCGGTGACCAGAAGGAGGAGAAAGAACATGGCGGGCGCGGCGGGGCCCGGGACTGGCCCGGGGGCAGCGGGCGGAGATGGAGACGATTCGCTATACCCGATCGCGGTTTTAATAGACGAACTCCGCAATGAGGACGTGCAGGTACTGGAGTCTGGCCCGGTAGAGGGGGCGGGCTCGGTCGGGCGCTTGGTAGGGGTGGGTGAAGGCCGGCGTCGAGGTGGGGCAGGCCCGGTGATTGAAAGACCCAGCTCTGGCGGAAACTGGAGGCGGAGGAAGGGAAAGACCCGTGCTCGGCCCTCCCCTCCCAGGGATCTCTCCAGCAGCCCTCCTTCGGACCCCGGGCGGTTGTGGGAGAGCCGGCTTCGCGCCTGGGCGCTTCTTCCGGGCGGTGCGGTGGGCTCACCGCTTCCGGTGGTCCCTGTTGAGGAGCGAACTGGAAGGTGGCGCTGGCGCGGGCGGCGAGGGTCCCTAGAAAGTGCAGTCCCTGGGAAGTGCAGGGGAGTGAATGCTTTCTTCTCGGCTGGGAAACTGGCCGGGCTTGTTGGGTAGGACCGGGGTGGGATGGCTAATTAGCCTAGAGGAGCCGGTGTGTCAGCCCTCATAGAACTCCCTTCTGAAAAGGCAGGGGTTGTAGTCAACCGTTTCCCCAGCTTACCACCGCCAAAGTTCTCTTTTTAAGATTGTCTCACTTCTTGGATATTATATTCTCTTTCATTCATTTCTTTAATGGGCCCTTTAGAGTGTTTCTCCAGAGAAATTGTCCTTTGGCTAATGAAGCCATGTTACACTGCTCCTGAGTTTCCTCATATAATACAATCTAAAATGAAGGTTTTCTTTATCCTTGCCAGATTGCAACTTTTGCCTTTGGTCTAAATCACAACTGTTTCTTTAGTTCTTTCCACTTTCTTTTTTAAAGCTCCGTCTCAACAGCATAAAGAAGTTATCAACAATTGCCCTAGCACTTGGAGTGGAAAGGACGCGAACTGAACTGCTGCCATTCCTTACAGGTATGTGAGTCTTTGTTTAAGGAAAGACATAGGCATTATCATTTCCAGTTGCTTTCAAAACTTGGTGTTTTAGAATTTGTTACCCACAGTATTGAGTCCTAAATTGAGCCTGATGCTTTTGTGCAAAAGAAGCAGGATGGAGCTTATTGTAATGTGATTAGACACATTCAAACATTAACTATTTAGCTAATAGGAGAGTAATTGATACGGCATTATGAGTTTCTAAGTCATTCTGTAGAACAGATCCAGGAAGACTCTTGATGGAAAAGGAAGAAAACACTGTTGGAATAATGACAGGACCATCTAGTTACATATTGATTGAGTCTGTTCTTAGTTTTGTTAGAGTATCTAGCTCTGGGCTAGCCAGCCTTGTTGATGAGTACTGGTTTGTTATTTCCAGATACAATTTATGATGAAGATGAGGTACTGTTAGCTCTTGCTGAGCAGCTGGGAAATTTCACCGGCCTGGTGGGAGGTCCTGACTTTGCCCATTGTCTGCTGGTGAGTATATTCTGCCTACCCTCCTTTTAGAACTTTTGCAGTATAAGTAGTTCATTGTTTGGTGATAGGCACATTTTTTATGCAGATCTTTTTTTGGAGAGTCTCAGTGTTAGCTCTGGAGAGAACAAATAATGTAGGCACTTTGGATTCAAATAACCCATTCTTATTTTTTTCTGACTATGAATATAAGAACTTCTCCCTCTTTTCTTGTCTGCCTCTGTAGACTTATTTGTTAGTTTAGAGGTTGGGAGAAGAAAGATTTGATTGTTTTTGTTTATGGGTTTTTTTCCCCACTGAAATTAGAAATCTTAATTTTTCATTTAGTAATGTCATGACTTTGGAAATGTTTATATATATATATCTATATCAGCTTTCTGTCTTTGATTTTAAACATAACTTCTGACTTTGTGACTTTGATGAGTTCTGTTCAATTTGGTTGACAGTTACTAAGAGCCTACTATATATCAGGCATTGAAATTACAACATTGAGGTACAAGACCACTGTAAATGGAATGAGGTCTCTGTCCTTATGTGTCAACAAATAATTACTGTATAGTGTTAGATGGAAAAATAGAAGCCTATGCAAGGTACACAAGTAATAGAAGGAGAGGATTAACTGAGAGCAATCAGGGAAAACCTCTTGGTAGATGATGTTTGAACTAGGTTTTGAAGGATGACTAGGAATTCAACAGTAGACAAGATAGGGATATATGCTTAGAGGCTTAAATATTGTCTATATGATGCTGAATCTTATGATTTCTGTCTCTACTTCTAACCTTTCCATGGAACTGCAGATATAGATATGGAAGGATTCATATGTATCTACCTGTTTGTCTTTTTTTATGTCTGCCTATGATTTTCTACTTCGATATCAGGGAGGCATGTCAATTTAACCTGCCTAAAACAGAACTCACTTTTCCCAAAATAGGCCTTTCATGTCATTGTCCCATTTCAGTAAATAGCATCACCACCTACCCAATTGCATAAACCAAAATCTAGAAGACATTCTTAACTCTTCCTCATTTTCCAGATCTACTCCATTAGAACTCTTGTAGATTGTATGTATATTCCAAATTAGTTCACTTTTTTCCATCCCCACTACTACCTAGCTCATCTTTTCTCTAGTCTTTCTCCACCACATGATCTGTCCTCTAGATTAATGCAGTAACTTCCTAACTAGTTGCCTTCTACTCTTGCCTCCTACCCCCACCTTTACAGTTAACTCTTCACCTCACAGATGGATCCCTCCCTGCCATGGCTCTTAGAAGATCATATTCCTACCATAGCTTGTACCTTTGCTTACAGAGCCTTTCCTTGAGACTGTTGCCCTATATATTTTCTCTAATAAAATGTCCTTTTGAGCTTCCTGTGATTGGCTCTCTGTCATGAAGATATCAACTTTAATGTGGCTACTCAAAGAGGCCTTCTCTGACCACCCAACCTAGTTACCTCTTAACACATCATCCTATAGTATTTTTTTGCAGAGTACTCTTACCATCTAATTATTTTCTTGATTAGTTGTTGTCTTCCTCCATTAGAAGATAAACTCCACTAGAGCAAGGTACCTGCATTCCTGTTTTTTCTCAACTCTCGATGCTAGAATATAACAATAATCTTTTATTGAAAGAGCTTAAACACAGGTTGTGTTGCTGGGGTATAAAGTGTTGGGCTGGCGTAGGCAGGAGTGGTGGTCAGGAGGCAGCAGGAAAATGGCATGGAGAAATAGGTAGAGTTCAGTCCAGAGACAACTCATATGCATTTCTCAGGAATTTGGCCTTATCCTGTAGTAGTGGAAGAGATTATACAATGATACTGCATAGAGAAGGTCAGAAGGCATGGGCAGATCATGAAGGACTTTCTCAAGTAAGAAAGCAATATCTTCTCAAAGGATTTTTGAAGTACCTCTTACGAAATTTGAGTTCTACCTTTGTGTATCAGACAATTTTTGAAATGGATTATTAAGTAGATGTGCTTCTTTCCTTTGACCTGTTACAGTTGTTTCACTCTTTTGGTTAGTTCTACGTCTGGGTTTTGTAGAACTGACCAAATTCAGCTCATGGCATATGCTGAATCTACCTGACCAAATACAAACCCACAAAGGAGAAGGTTCAGAGAATGAGCCACTTCACTCTTTACTGGACGGTGTCACTTATGGATTTTAGAGCAGAACAACTCCTTTGGTCTTTTTTGTTTCTAAAGCAGCAAGCAAGGATTACTACCATGTCTATACTCCTTACTTAGTTATTTCATTAGAAACCCCTGCTGTATGTCTGGCTCATGGAAAGACTCTGGATGTATTCTGAAAAAAGTGATTTTGTACTGAGCTCTTATAAGTTGGATAAAGCGATAGTGTAGAGCCAGTGGATAAGGGTTGCTCATATCTCTAGGAATGGTAGATGCCAAAGGCAGTACACTCAGTGGCTTCATGAGATGTCATTGTGTTATTGTGATGCCCAGTGGTCACGTTTTTGCACTTACTCTTGAGGAAACATGCATGATCCTGTCTGAATTTGGCTAAGTATCTTTTAAACGTAGTGATTTAGCTCACAATAAATATTAAATATTGTGTCAAGTCTCTTCCACTGTGTCATTTGTAGACACCATCTGGGCATTGCCATCTGGGACATGAGATCTTGGCTGTCCTACCGAAGTCGTGTCTTCAGGTTGGACACACCATATGTTATCACTGTGTGAACTGAAAGTAACCATTTGGTGTGATGTAGCTAACATTCTGGTTACATGTACCACCTCCCTTCAGTCACTTTAAAAGGTGATAATCTGTAGCTAACTTGATTTAGTAAGTGTTCTTTTTGGTTTTCCTTTTGGTCTATTCAGCCTCCTTTGGAAAGTCTGGCGACGGTGGAAGAGACTGTGGTTCGAGACAAGGCTGTGGAGTCCCTGAGGCAGATATCCCAGGAGCACACTCCTGTTGCTCTGGAAGCTCATTTTGTACCTCTGGTGAAACGCCTAGCGAGTGGGGATTGGTTCACTTCTCGCACATCTGCATGTGGTTTGTTCAGCGTTTGCTATCCCAGGGCTTCAAATGCTGTCAAAGCAGAAATTAGACAGTAAGATATGGCATTTTTTTTAGTTGTTTGGGGTTATTGGGAACTCATATCTGACAATTTACACAGCACCCTGTTACCAGCGAGTGGCTGATACCAGAATAATAGGATTAATGACATCACTTTTTATTGTCCACCTGAATATACCAGTATTTTGTCTTTGTTTCTTCCATGAGTAGAAGCCTAATCACAACTTTTGTAAGAGGAAACCTCTAATACCTTCTTGTGTGTATGTTCTGTTGGGTGGTGTTTAATCAGTGTTATTTGACAGGATATTTGACCTTCATTATTTTATTTGCTCCAGGCACTTCCGTTCCTTGTGCTCAGATGACACACCAATGGTACGCCGAGCTGCTGCTTCCAAATTGGGCGAATTTGCAAAAGTTTTAGAATTAGACAGTGTGAAAAGTGAAATTGTCCCATTGTTCACTAATCTAGCCTCAGATGAACAGGTAGGTTAACTCTGTGTTTAGAGTACACATATGCGTTCCTCTCCTCTAACATTTTAAGAATTTCTTTGGGGAGTTTGGTTCTCATGTTAGGATTCTTTTTGCAAAATTAATACTTAATTCTGGCCTTCATGAAATTTAATATGACCTATTTCATTGTCTTTATATTTCTTTCTTAACCAGACCATGATACTCTCTTATATTGGCATTTGTTATACCAGGGGGAAGCCAGAGGAAATGGGATCTATAATTAAGAAAATCAAGGCAGGTGGGTGGGAAGAGGTGGAAGAGTGTTGGGGGGGGATGAATGGTAATGGGAAAGTAAAAATTAAATATTTAAAATGAAGGACAAAACTGCATTAAGGGGTAATGTACCTTTGCCCATTGGAGGCAGGATTGTCATATTAGGAGGGTAATACTTCCTTGAATTTTTTACTTGCAGATAAACAAAGCAAAATATGTGTTAGGAAAGCTGTTTGGCCCTTTGCTCCTCTGTGTGAGTGTATAGGATGATCTTGCATAATAGCAGTTTTCAACCCAAGGATCTGGATCTCTTTAATGTAGTAGTAGTAGTAGTATCTCTTTAATGTAGTAGTAGTAGTAGTAATAATAATAATAATAATAATAACAACAGCAGCAGCAGCAGCAGCAAGCAAGCAAGCACCAAAATAAAGTATATAATCAATCTTAGCCTGTTTGAAGTGATTTACATATATAAGGTAATTCAGTTCTCACAACAGGCACATGAGGTAGATACCTCACTTTACATTTTAGGAAACAGGCCCAGAATATTGAAGTAACTTACTCACGGTTGCCTAGTTAGTAGTGAAGTTGGGATTGGAATCCAGGCAGTTTGGCTCCAGAGTTCACAGCCTTCACAGTGAGGCAGCACTGCTTCTCTGCTGTGCTTCAGAGGATCAGACCCCGGAGTTCTGGACTATAGCCAGTGTCCTTTTGGGTTTTTAATTTGCCTAGTGTCTGCCCTAGAGTCCTTCCATGTGTACAGGACTGACAGCACCAGGCACATACTGACAAATCTCATTTTTAGATTCTAAATCTAGAGATGGTAAATTTTACTTCCAAAGTAATTTTTTAAAATTATTAAATAACATAGAAAACATCACAAACTGTACAACTTCATGAATTATTATAAGGTAATGTCATCTTGTAACTGCCGTCTATGAAAGGTAAGAACTTTGACAGCCACTACCCCAGCCCGAAGCCCTCAACACAACACCCCTTTCACTCCCCACTCGCCACCCTCTCTTTAAAACTAACACTATACTTTTATGGTAAATACCTCCTCCTCTGCATTTTTTATTACTCAAATATTATAGTTTAAAACATCACTGTCCAACTGAACTGTAATGTATGCTACCTATTACTTCTAAGTTTGCTAGTAACCACATTTTAAAAAAGTAAAAAAACAGGTAAAAATAATTGTAATGATATATTTAACCCAATATACCCAAATAATTGTCATTATTAGCCACTTTTCAGGTTTGGATAGTGGTTACCACATTGCACAGCAGATTTAGGATCCTCATTTGGGATTTTGTTGATTATATTTCCCATAGGGTAATTTAACATTTTCTTTGTCCTCTGCATTTCCTGCAAAATGGTAGATGAATATAGAGTTGGGGGTTTGCAGACTTTCTCTGTAAAGGACCAGATAGTAAATACAGGGATGGGCAAAAGTAGGTTTACGGTTGCATAGTGTCATTCTTTTGAGTTAATAAAGCTATTGTAATAATAACCTGCATGTGTTTTTCCATATGAACAACTATAAACCTGTTTTTGCTCACCTCTGAGTTTAGGCTTTGTGGGCCAGACAGCCTCTGTTGTAACTACTCAGCTCTGCTGTTGTAGCACGGAAACACCATAATATATAAGCTCGTGGGCAGTGTTCCAGTAAAACTTTATTTACACAACCTATAGCTGTGTCCTAGATTTGGCTGGTGTTTGTCCCACCTCTGATCTAGTGAAATTTAAGTTTGGTGTTTTGCAGGTAATAAGATCACTTCATAGTGGGGTATACTTTTCATCAAAAGACATGTAATGTCTAATGGTATTAGCAGCAGTTGATGCTGAAAAATATTAAGTGCTTAGTTGTAAAAATGTGTATGTGAATTCCTTCCGACCATTGTTAGAATTGGTGGTTCTGGCTTATTCATTTGTTGAAAAATGTCAAGCATCTACTACAAATCAGTGTTCTCGTGTTGGGATTCAGTGTTAATTAAGGCATACAAGGACCTTACTGTCATGAAGTTTACAGATAAACAAAATATCAGAGATAAATGCTATGATGAACCTACTACTCTATGAAAATAGAGTAGTAGGTTAATGTAATTGGGAGTGATTGTAGGATATTTCTCTGGACTGGCTAGTCAGAAGGACTATGAAGAGATGACATAAACTTGAGATGTAAAAGAAAAATGCCAGCTGTGCCCTTTCCTAGAGTAACAGAGCTCCAGGAAAAGAGAACTACAATAAGAGAGGACACATGTGGGTAGTGGTCCTGAGGTGGGGACATAGTGGGTGAGAAGGACCCTGGTAAGAGATGAGGTTGGAGAAGACAGGCAGGGACCTGATCATGGAGGGCCTTTAAGGCAGGGTATAGAGTTGGGTTTTCTTTTCTAGGTGCAATGAGAATACACCTAGATTTTAAGCAGCGGTGTGACTTGATGTAATTTACATTTTTAAAAGATTTTTCTGGCTTCTGGGTAGAAACTGAATTGTAAAGTTAGGGGGTGAGAGTAGAAACAGGAAGACCAGTTGGAAGGCTTGTTTAATAATCTAGGCAAGATATGATTAACCAGGGATGTATAGTGAAGATGGAGAGAACCTGGAGATAGGTTTGGAAGTAGAATTAGCAGAGCCATGATTGGGTTGGGTGAGGGGAAGAGGCCTCAAGAAGATCATTATTTTTGGCTTGAGCAACTGGGTGGGTGGTGGTGTCGTTGCTGAGATGGAGAAAATTTGGGGAGGGGCAGGTATAGGGGAGAAAATCAGTTCTGGAAGATAAGTAATTGATTAGTTTAACAAATATGTATTTGTATATTTTTCCATAGATGATAGTATTCCCTTGATTTGGCATCATCTTTAGAATCCAAAAATACCTATAGCTACCACCAAGAACCTAGTTCTGCCTGTTGTAGCCTGTTTATTTGGATAGAGGAGTGTCTTGGGCATATAGTAAGTTATTGTTGATCTGTAGTTTAAAAAATTTGTAGTATTCTGGAAAGTTTGAGTTACTTATCTTTCATGTATATGTGTACATATATGAACACAGGTATGTGTGTGTATAAATATGTAGTTAGGTATAAAATTTTTTCCAGTTTCTCCTGGGTACTAATATGTTTACATACTTTCACTTTCTGCTTATATATTTATGACTTCCAATTTTATAGGGTCAATTCCTAATTTCTCATTGACTTGTCTAGTTGTGTATTTGTACTTACTCAAAGGACATACAGGTATTACATTGACATTGGCAGTTTACATTTGGAAAGCTGAGTTCATTAATCCTGTATCTTTCTAATTTTTTCCTGCTGCGCTCTAGGCTTGGCTACCTCAAAGTTATTTTGTCCTTGATCCTCAACCTTTAAATCCAACTTTTAAAAAAATGTACTGCTTTTTTTTTCTATATTTCTTTCCAAGTCATCATCTTATACCTAAATCCTGTTATTGCCACTCTAAATTAAGTACAGACTTCCCCTGCCATCTGAAAGTAGAGCATTCCTATGAAACCTTTTGTGAGCCGAAATGGTATAAACTTAAATCAAAGAAGCAATTTACCTAAGCATTACCTTAGGGATACATCTTGCTAGCAGATGCACAAAGTAAATTGAGATAAAACACAGGTGCACATAGAAATAGTTGAAACCTGTGGCGTCTTGATGCTGAGATGCTGAGTGTAGTTCCTGGGAAAGAGCTTGCGGTGCAGTGTGCTCCAGGTGTGCTGCCTCTGTAATGGCTCACGCAAAACAAATGCCAAGTGCCATTTTAGCTTTTCACCTTTTTTTGTAAAAGCAAAAATCTTTTTCAGATTTCCTTCAGGTAGAGAAAACACATTAATCTAGGCCTTTCATAAAAAGCAAGGTTGTGTAAATAAACTTTTGAAAAGCAGAGGCACCTGTATTTTGAAAACTGAGCTTTCCAATGACTCTTCACCCTTATCTCTTACTCTATCCTGGTCTGTTATAAACTTTTTCAAGCATAATTTTCATTTTTATCTCTCAACTTCGTATTATAGTGAGGCTTTGAAGATATTAAAATGTTCCTTTTTTCACTTTACATTTTCATTTAACTTTTCTTAACAAAAACTCTGAACTAGCCAATGTAATTAGTTTGCTGTTTACTCATAGAATACGGTTCTACTTTTATAGCTTTGATATATCATTCCAGGCAAAGGGAACAGCTATTTCAAGACATAGAAACATGAAGCTGCCTGTAGTATGGTTTGTTTGTTTGTTTGTTAGTTTGTTAGTTAACGGCACCCACAAGCACCACACCATACACCTGCAACTGTCAGTAAACACTGTCTAATGGAAAGACATTTTTCCCTTTAGGATTCAGTGCGCCTGCTAGCTGTGGAAGCTTGTGTCAGTATTGCCCAGTTACTGTCTCAGGATGACCTTGAGGTTTTGGTGATGCCTACACTTCGACAAGCAGCAGAAGATAAATCTTGGCGAGTTCGCTACATGGTAGCGGACAAATTTTCAGAGGTAAAGTTACTGCATTGACATTTTTTTAAGTACTAAAGAAGAAAACCAAGAAACTCAGAAATTTGTTGTTGTACCACAACAAATTAACTTTTGAATGACTAACTTTTAAATTAACTTTTTTGAATGATTAATTTTATGAATGAAAAGTGTTTGTGGCAAAAATGTATACCTGAAGGTGGTGCTATTTTGTTCATGTTATTTTATTGGTATGCATTAAAACCTGTACAAACTCTTTTATAGCTCCAGAAAGCTGTGGGTCCTAAAATCACCCTAAATGACCTCATCCCCGCCTTTCAGAACCTACTTAAAGACTGTGAAGCTGAAGTCCGAGCAGCTGCTGCCCACAAAGTAAAAGGTTAAGGCGTCAATTTATGTTGCAGTATGGGTTTATTTTGGTGCATTTTTTTATGTCAGTGAATTTTGTATGTTTTTTGTTCTAGACTGTGTTTACAAATAAGTAGAGATGATTTCATGGTGTGGAAATGTTGCATTATCATATAAAGTTACTCCCACTGTATTTAAAACCAAACATCGAATTTACCTTGTATATGTAAAAAAAAAAGCTTTTTCAGGTTGGATTAGTGTGACACATTAAACCACATTAGTGGTTTATAGATTGATGAAAAAGTCCATGTAGAATAAAAGCCATTTTACCTTCTTGGAGATCATTTGCTTAAGCATAAAATACGATTCAACTTGAAACTTGATAAAATTGGTTAAATTTCTTCATTTGGCTTGTTGTAAATGGCTCTGTGTGAGCATTATTTTTTTTTCTATTTCTGTCTTTTAGAACTTTGTGAGAACTTGCCCACTGAGGGTAGAGAAACCATAATTATGAATCAAGTTCTGCCCTATATAAAGGTAAAACTAACTTTAGTTTACTTTTAGTTTTACTTTGCTCTGTATGAAGGCAAACCTTACATTGGTTTTATTTGTTGTTGTATTTTACCTTAAAGCTCTTTGAGTTTAAAAGTGGACAAGGGTTGAATGGGATAGATGTGTTAATGTGTGACATTGTTATTTTCACTTATCAGTGCATTATAAGTTGTGAAATGCTCTTTGGTGCATAGGGTTATGTTATCTGAAAGATGATCTGAGGAAACTATCAACTAACAATGTTGAAATAATGCTGTCTTTTTAAATTCCTTGGGAAATTATATTGAAGTTTCTGTTTGTCTTGCAAAAAGGAAAGCCTTTTAATTTTGATTTTATTTTAGGAATTAGTATCTGATACAAATCAACATGTCAAATCAGCTCTAGCTTCTGTAATTATGGGATTGTCTACCATTTTGGGCAAAGAGAATACCATTGAACATCTTCTACCTCTTTTTTTAGCTCAGTTAAAGGATGAGGTGAGTCTGGTTATAAATTCTGTTGCTTGATAGTTAGTGATTTGGTTTGGTTTTGGTTTGGGATTTCACTAAAATAGAACCCAAAACAGGGATGATAGAATTTGTAAAAGTAACTTACTTTAAACCAGTGACAGTCCTTGCATTTGAGTGTGGGCTGCAAGTTCCCCAGAAAAGGGGCACAAGGAGCCATTGATACAGACATGAAAAATGCCTGTGCATTTTCTTTGCCTGATTCCTGCTGATAGGTACTGGTGTCATCTTTTTAAACTTAATGTATCTTTTTTATTAAAATTTTATTTTATTTTAATTGTTGTTCAAGTACAGTTTTCTGCCTTTTACCCCCATCCCAGCCCATACCCACAGCCCTCCCCACCTTTCTCCCGTTTCCACCTCCCCTTGTTTTTGTCCATGTGTCCATTATACTTGTTCCTTAAACTTAATGTATCTTTGTTTTAAAAGTTTCTTTCATTTAAATTTAAATAGAATATCAACATTGTACTGATAGCTAACATGTATTGGTAAAACTATATGCCAGGCATGACCACAAATGCTTTGGCATGTGTCATTACATGTATCCTCACAGCGATCTTATGAGGTAGGTCTTCTTATCCCCATTTTACGGATGAAGAAGCTGAGGCACAGAGACATAAAATGACTCACCCCAGGTCTTTTGGCAGATTTAGGATCTGAATGCATGTAATTTGATTTCAGAGCCTGTGCTCTTTACCGTCTAATAAACTGTTTATTAAGAATTCTGGTTAAGAGCAGTTACATTTTTATGCTTTGAATTATTTGTGTACTCAGTATTCAGTATGTCTTCTGAGACTATACTTTTTTACCTGAGTCAATACTTTCTTATTTTAAACTTTATGGCACTTTTTAAAAAAGATTTTATTTATTTACTTTTAGATAGAGGGGAAGGGAGGGAGAAAGAGAAGGAGAGAAACATCAATGTGCAAGAGATACATAGATCGATTGCCTCTTGCATGCCCTCAACTGGGGACCTGGCCCGCAACCCAGGCCTGTGCCTTGAATGGGAATTAAACTGGCAACCTTTTGGTTCGCAGGCTGGCACTCAGTTCACTGAGGCAGGGCTCTTATTTTAAACCTTAGTTAGCAGTTTTTATCTCATCAGGACAGTAGGGAAATGTTGGGCAGAGAACTTGATTTTTATATGTGTTCTTTGGGATTTGTATTCTTGTAGTGTCCTGAAGTTCGTTTGAATATCATCTCCAATTTGGATTGTGTAAATGAAGTGATTGGAATCCGTCAGCTCTCCCAATCTCTTCTTCCTGCCATAGTGGAGTTAGCTGAAGATGCCAAGTGGCGGGTCCGGCTGGCCATCATTGAGTACATGCCACTGCTTGCCGGCCAGCTGGTGAGTATGTGTGCCCCATGAAGTGAAGGGTAGATCAAATAGTAGAGCAGATTTACCATGGCAAGTCAGAGGCCCCAGTAAATTGTACGATTATGTTCATTTAGATGCATCTAAATATGGTAGGTTCTAGTTGCCTGTAGGATGGCTTTTATTTTCTTTAGTGTGTTAACTTCTAACAAAAAGGAATTACAGAAACACATTTTGCCTCATTTCACCTCGCCACCATCTAAAAAGCAAAGCCATAGAAGAATATAATGTTTCTTGGTATAGAACATATGCTTTGTGTTATTTAATGTCTCTGTGATTCTTGCTCAGAGCAGCTTCCCAGTTTGCCTGTATGCTGAGCAGTATGTCCTTGGTTAATGCTTTTTCTGTGTTCTGGTTAAAGGGGATTGAAGAGTCAGGCTCAAAAAGGAGTATTGAAGTTTTTAATGCTGATATTTTGGCCATAGTCCGCATTATCAAACTATCTGTCACTCTTTGAGTTTCATTATTATTTTTACTTTAACCATGTTAATTAAAATTTCAGTACTGTTTTATTGCCACAACTTTTCCTTTCTTCTTCCATACATGCACTAGACAGTTCTAAGTTTGCTCTACCCTTATGCTGTGGGTAGCATGCATTACACAGCACGTTGTGAGTGTCTGTTGAAAACTAGTTGGGAAAGTAGACAAGTGATCTCTTTTAGGACAGAGACTGTGTTCAGTGTTTTATTTGCAGTGCCTGCTATAGTGTCTGGCATTAATCAGGCACTGGATATTTGTAGATTGTTAGATGAATGCATACCTGAGTATTTTTTGAGGAAGCTCATAATATCATGTCAGTTTATAGCTAACATTACTGCAGTTTGTTTCCTCTCCCCCATGCCACTTCCATTCCTTTAAGATCATAGCATACAGGATTTATTTTTTACTTTCTGGGACTCCTGACTTCGTATTGCTAATTTTGATCTATTTAATTTATGAAATGCATCTTATGTTTGTGGCATCTGATAATGTTTTATAAAATTTGAAGCATCCCAGTCTTCAAAATGGATGTCAGAAATATTAGTATATAGCTAAAAGGGTCAGGTGAACCCTGGCCTGGTAGCTTGGTTAGAGGGTTGTCCCAATACGCCAGGGTTACAAGTTCGATCCCAGGTCAGGACATATACAAGAAACAACCAATCAATGCATAAATAAGTGGAGCGACAAATCGATGTTTCTCCCCCACCCTCTCTCTCCCCCTCCTGGTCCCCCTCCCCCTTCCTCTGTCTCTTAAAAAAAATTAAAAAATCAAAAATAAATAAAAGGGTCAGGCAAAGTCATCTTGTCACCTTTTTTTCCTCTGTTACTCCCAAGTGCTGAGGGTCATCTCTTCTTGACTGGCGACTGTCATGGATCAATCACCTCTCTAGAGTGGAAGGCAGCAGTGGCTAACTGGTTGGCTAAAGACTGAAACAACTGTCCAGGAGGGAGGGTGAATTTTAGTACTATTTTTTAAAATCTCTGATTCTCTAAGATGTGGAAGGTCAGCAAAGGTTGGTGGCTCTGCGGAGGAGTGTGGAAGCAAGTAGATGGTAACTGGCTGACTCATACCTTTTAGTCAGGTGTACATGCGATGGTCATGAACATCTTGTTAATACAACTTCAATGTCTTGTTAGTATTAACATTTTATTTTAATTTTTTATCTGTAAAGATTTTTGTATCAGGTAGTCAATTTATAAAATTCTTTCAAGTCTTTCTGGATGCCCTGGTTTATGGGCCATGGTGAATAAATGTAAAGTTAAACCACAAAAATCAGGAAATAAAAGTTAAGAGTCAAGAAAAAGCAATAATGTGAAATGAGAAAGAAATCTTTGAGCGCTGACATGGTGATCTAAGTGTATGCTAAAACCTGTTCATGATCTATTATTATAAAGCCATTTTTTTGGTAAGTCACTGTTTTCAGAGCACTGAAACTTTGTACTCTATCTCTTTATTTAAAATATATAATCACTATTTTGGAGCTTTTTGGATCCAAAGACCCCAAAAGGGAGGCACTAGGAAATCATGTGTCACAGCATCCTCTCACATGGTACAGAATTCCCCCAGTGACAGGTCTATGTAAATCAGCTCCAGGAGCTGTCCCCATCCTGTGCTGGAGTGGCCACCTGTTGATAGGAAGAGCAAAACTGGGAGAGCCAGGATGGTTCCATCTGTGCCTTTGTGCTAGGCTACGTCACCTGTAGTGTTATACCTGCTTTATCCTCCTGCTGCTCCTCCCATCATCTTAGAAATACTCTATTTAATTGGAAATATCTGTTTGTTAATATTAGTTTCTTCATTCTTAATGATTTCTTATGATCTTGACTAAAAGGAAAAAAATTGAGAATTACTAACATTATTGACAATGAAGTACAGGTTGATAGTTACAAAATAGGCACTGGGACATAAAGGAAATGTAGTCACTGATACTGTAATAACTATGTATGGTGTCAGGTGGATAATGGAAATATCGGGGGAACACTTTGTAAAGTATGATTGTCTAACCACTGTGCGGAACACCTGAAACTAATATAAAATAATAATGAATGTAAACTATAACTTAAAGAAATTTTTAACTAAAAAGATAAAGAAAAAAATCTTATTGACATATATTTTCCTGGGTAATTCAGTGTTACAAATAATGTAGATATTGCTTGGCAGACTGTGCTGCATTCTTTCTCCTTATTTGCAGTGTCGTATCTGGCTCGTGGCCACTCAGTTCTCATCCACTTAGCAGAGCCTGGGCCATCTCACTTATGCTTTCTTTGTTTATTATTTCTGTCCAATAAAATAGATTTACAGTTTGTAAATCAAATCCCATGGTATTTCTTTTCTGGCTGGTTCATGAATTCAGCTTAGTTGGAATCATGTATTTATTAGATTTCAGATCATTTTGGTGTACTTTGAATAGATCATCTTGATTTCTAAACATTGGAGATGTGTATTAACACAATCATCTGTATCCATAGGGTGTGGAATTCTTTGATGAAAAGCTAAATTCTTTATGTATGGCTTGGCTTGTGGACCATGGTAAGTAAATAAGTTAAAAACAGGTTATTATGGAATGCTCATATTTTTTGTATATATCCCATTTTATTTATGTATTTCTTTTTTAGAAATGAATCCTAATCTGACCAGATATTTTGCCTTCCTAGTGTACGGGTGAAGAAAGACTGATTAAAATCCAGTTAGCTTCCTCTGAACACAAGTTGGACATTTCTATTTTCTACCAAGATTTTTCTGTCTTAAACTTTATTTTGTGCATAAATAATCTCTTTGCTGTGTTTCTAGTCATTCTATTACATTATTTTCATAATATCTCTTTCATACATATACACACTTCTTCTCTCATGGTCTTCTGCTTGGTGATGCCGTCTGGGTTGGACAGGGTGTGCAATCAAATGAATGGCCCATGGGGAAGAAATGGCTCCTTGGCTTGAGTGACATAGAAAAGGAGATACACAGTGGCATAGTAAGGAATTGGAGAGGGAGATGTTGGCTGTGGGCTAAGACAGAGAAGGCCTAGACTTCTGGTTTTGGTGAAAGGCAAGCTTACTGCCTGTACTCTTGGCTGCTTGCTGCCACAATAAGAGGGTGAGTTGTGAGCTAAGGGTGGGGTCAGATGGGACAGCATTTAGAAGATAGGTTTCTCAATACTTTAACTTCTCTTTGCATTTATAATATAATTCACAAAATCCTTTTCTTCAAATGCCACAAACTGTTACAAATGAAAACTGGTGCTGCGGCTTGTCAAAATATACAAGACAATTGATATTCTATATAAAACCATTTTATATGTTAATTTGTTAGCAGTTGACTTTTTGACAAGGTCTTGGTGTGGTCCTTGTGTCTCCTCTTGTTTTCCAGGAAGTGGTGGGTGGGAAGGGTGCCCTCTGTACCAGTAAGGTCCAGTGTCAGGCCCCAGATCCAGACCAGCATCTTCTGTGCAGTTTGAAACCTGCTCAGGCCCCAGGCCATGGGATTTCATAACATAATGTCCTGTGAACTTCAGTTCCATATTTTGGTGGATATGGTAGGCATTCTCTTTGAGTTCCATAGCATCTTATGTGTACTTTATGTATTGACTGTATCTCTGTTCTTCTGTGGTTACTTATGCCTGGGTATTTGGGAGGAGTGGGAATATTTACTGTGTCTGCTTGGATACGTAGGTGGTTTTGTTAAGGGCATATTAGGATCATATGAGAGGTCAGTCATGTAGTTAAGAGTGTAAAGAGGAGTGGTTGGAAAAAATGTGCAAATCTCATAAAGGCATATATACATAGATAATTTCATTGTCTTCAGACTAGATTTTGAAGACTATTTCTTTTTTTTCTTATCCTTTAAAGTTACCTTTTTATAGCCTTTTTTCTTTTTAAATGAAATTTAAGAATTGGCAAATCATAGGAAAGATTCCTCTTTTTAGAAGAGAGGAATTTAGTGTTTATGTTACTTCTGGTATGTGTAACATTAGGAAGAACGACATATCCCAGAAGATTCTATACTTTTCTTTGAAAGCTGGCTTTCTAGATTTATTTTGAGGAACTTTCAAAGTCCTAATATTCCACAAAGAGTTAGATTCCCAACACCCTTTCTATGTAGGATTGCGCAAAGTAACATATTCCTTTCTTTTTTCCTCTGATACCTTTTTCTTCCAATTTGGGGGTAGGAGAGATGTTTGTTTGTTTGTTTGTTTCAGTACCAGTATAATAAAGTGGGTATCGTTTGAACCAATGAAACACCAGCTTTGAAATTGTTCTGTACTTAGTTACATGGAATTTTTGTTGTTCTGTTTTGACATTTTCCATAACTACTTTGTATTGATCACTGACCAATGAATTCTTTGGAACATTTTTCCTCATTATTAAACTACTAAAAGAATATTGTGAAGAACACAGAGAAATATAAGGAAGAAAGTATCACTCATGTCTGTTCTTGTGGTTGAGTGGACGATATTGATGGGGGAGGAATTTAGAAGGAGAATTTATTTTTAAACAAGTTGTCAATTAAATTTATTTTGAATAAAGTATATGGGCAGGGTTAAAGAAGGGAAAATTATTTTGTATTGGCAAGGGGGGGAATATCAATGTTAGCATATATAGAATGTGGTAGACATTTAGAGGAACCTTGTAAGTCAGGCAGACCTTGAGGGAGAAAGGCAAAACAAGGAGAGAGGACAGGCAGAACTGTGTAGTGGCTTTCTTTTTTTGGCAATAAGATTGAGAGGAGTTAAGAACATTGTAGGCATCTGGCCAAGCAGAGTTGAGTGCAGTTAAGAAAGTATAGAATCTTCTGGGGCATGTTATTCTCACTAATGTTAAATATATATCAGAAATAATGTGAACACTTTTTTTAAAACAGCAATTTTTTTTGCTATGATTTGCCATACTTAAGATTCATTTAAAAAGAAAGAAAATTAGGCCATGAAAAGGTAACTTCAAAGGATAAGAAAAAAGAAATAGTCTCACAAGTGTGTATGTGCTGTCTTTGGTTTCCCTGGTGGTGAGATCCCTTCCTATGGTAAGGGCATTAGGATAAGAGAAATAACCAAACAAACTAAAAAACAGAATAGGAGAAGACATCTGTGCTGTGGCTAGCTCCACCTTTGGGGAGGCAGTGTGGAGGGTGGTTGTGACAAAGACTGTATGCATGTGAAGGGAGAGCATTTGTATTGTGGATAAAACAGTTGACTTGAACTTCTGAGAGAATGCTTCTAAATATTACTTGACAGGTTGATTCCCCACAGACTTTGGTCAGGTGTGTGTTGGTCATACGTAGTTTCTTGGCTGTGCTCTCTTGCCTGTTTTTATTAATGGCATTGCCTAAAGGGCTCTATAGACTGGGAAGAATTGGCTGTTTCCTGTCTGGAAGCTTTATATAAATTTTCCAGGATTGGGGCTGTGGCTTAGCTATTCTTGCTTATCCTATCACCTAGGTGGGTTGGGCCTACCTGGAGAGAAAAGAAGGAGCAATCAGTACACAGCACCCTAGATTTGCTATCCAAGTCCCAATTTTGAACTGTATTGGACCTGTGAATCAACTAAGCAGCAACCCTGTGTTCAATGCTATGTATAGCAACCAGTTGTTGAGAAGATTGTAGCTTCGGCCTTTATTATCTAGATTTATGGTGTCTTTGATAAATGATCTTGTAGGGTATTAAATGTCAAGGTGGGTACATTTATTCATAGAAGACATTTGACCTGGCTCAACATAAACATGTTTAAGGGAAAATGGGCAAGATGGTCTGAAGTTTTTTTTTGCTGTTGTGTAGGTGACCACAGTGGCCCCTAAACTACCTCCTCGTTGTCTTTCTTCCCTCAGTTCTCGTCACGGTTGGGAGGATTTTGTCAAAATACCACACTGGTCAGTGGGTGACAACTTTGCTTTAAAAACCCATCTTCCCCCCCCGCCCCACAACATTTCAATGTAGCTTTTAAGATGTTCTGTGTTTTTGGTCTACCCTAACCGTCCAACCTCACGTTTTCCCAGATTTCAGTTCTGTCCTTTGTGTCCTGGATAATTTTTTTTACCCTTTCCAGGAATTACCATCCTTTTCTCACTCCTTACACAAATCCTCTCTGATCTACGAGGCCCAGTATAAGGTCTCTCTTCCCCAAAGCCTTTTTAGACCTTCCTGTTCTCTCTTCTCTAAACTCCAGCCCTCATGGTCATTACTACACAATTTCATACTTTATTATAATCAGTCTTTAACATGTGATTTCTTGGAGTATGTTAGTGTATGATCTTGAGGGGAAGTATCTTATGTATTCTTTCTGTAACATATAATACATAGTGGTCATATTTGTTAATTAATGGTGCTTAGAATGAGCTCCTTTTTTCTTGGACATATTACACACTTTGAAACTGTAGTAAGACCAAATCAGTGTTGTTATGCGTTGTAGCTAAGCACGTTTGCCAGTGCAGTGTGGCTAAATTTGGCATGTGTTTGCAGAACTTTGTGTTTGGTTCCTCTTTGTTGATGGCGTAAGTAAACTAGGTTATGCTTTTCATGTAAGCAGCATGACAGTGTGGTCTTCCCCTCTTCTACAGTGTACGCCATTCGTGAAGCTGCCACCAACAACCTCATGAAACTGGTTCAGAAGTTTGGTACAGAGTGGGCCCAAAATACCATTGTTCCCAAAGTGTTAGTGATGGCAGACGACCCTAATTACTTGCATAGAATGACCACTTTATTCTGCATTAATGTAAGTATTACGTGGCTTTTATTGCTAAGCTCAGGCGTCAAAGCAGTTATTCAGGGCTCTATTTCTGAATTCATATATTGTCTTCTGTTTGGAATATATATACATACACACACATACATAGATGCATGTGTGTATTTTTTTAAAAGACTTTATTTTTAGAGAAGGGGAAGGGAGGGAGAAAGAGAGGGAAACAAACATCGATATTCAAGAGAAACATTGATTAGTTGCCTCTCACATGCCCCTAGCCAGGGCCCTGGCTGGCAAGCCAGGCTTGTGCCTTGACCGGGAATCAAATCTGAAACCTTTTGGTCTGCAGGATGACACCCAACCCACTGAGCCATGCCAGTCAGGGCTGAAATATATATTTATACTGATTAATTTGTACAGTTAAGAGATGAGAGAAAATGTCAGTTTTTCAATTCATGTTAAAATTTGTAGTAGTGATGTCAGTTGTGAATTCTAGTCTAATTCTGTTTTTTTTTTTTTTATGCTGCTTTGTATACTTCATTTAGTGCTCAAACTAGAAACATTTTGGGATATTTAAAAGTATTTTAAATGTGCCCTCTTATTTCTTTTCCTAGGCACTGTCTGAAGCCTGCGGTCAGGAAATAACCACTAAGCAGATGCTGCCCATTGTGTTGAAAATGGCAGGAGACCAAGTGGCGAACGTCCGTTTCAATGTGGCCAAATCTCTACAGAAAATTGGACCAATTCTAGATAATGAGTAAGATTTTCATTCTTTTTATTTTTGTTATTCTATTACAGTTATTGGTATTGGTACGTGGGATATCTGAAATTTTACTGCTTGTGTTTTCTGCTAGGACTTTCTTGGTATCATGACTTGTATTTAAATCTTTTATCCATTTTGAGTTTATTCTGGTATATGGTGTAAGTTGGTGGTCTAGTTTAATTTACTTTTTGCATGTACCAGTCCAGTCTCCCAACACCAGTTATTGAAGAGACTATGTTTACTCCATTGTATGCTTATGTGTCCTTTGTCAAATATTGCTTGAGCATAGAGACATGGGTTTATTTCTGGGCTCTCTGTTCTGTTGATCTCTGTGTCTGTTTTTATGCCAGTACCAGACTGTTTCGATTACAGTGGCCTTGTAGTATAGTTTGATGTCAGGTATTGTGATCCCTCCTACTTTGTTCTTTCTCAAGATTGCTGAGGCTATTTGGGGTCTTTTTTGGTTCCATATAAATTTTTAGAATATTCTAGATCACTAAAGTATGCCATTGGAATTTCAGTAGGAATTGTGGTGAATCTATAGGTACTGAGTAGGATTTTATATTATTCTTTTTTTTCTTTGTCTGAATTTTTTCCTTTGCTTAATCCCTTTGTCTTTTTCACCCAACTCCCAATCCACTTTCCTTCTGATGATTGTCAGTGAATATTACTCTCATTTTAAAAGTAGATTTGAATTTTTACCTTGTATTGGGGAGTAATAACTAGAAATAAATCAGGGATTTTACACTTTACCTAAGGTGTAGGTTTGTTTGAAGAAATAATAAAGTCACGTAACTAATTTTTTAGGGTGTCCACTCTTTTATACTTAAACTCATATATGTGTAGATCATTGTCTGAAGCTATTTCTGCTGAGAACTTTGGATAATCAAACCTATAGGTATTTTAAAATACTTTTTTATTTTAACCTTTAAAAATTACTTTAGAGCATATATACCATAGAGCGTTTTTCTGACCCAGAAGACTGCCTTTCACAGATGATACTGTTGGATTTTAGTGCTCTGCAGGTGGAAGTTAAGCCGGTACTGCAGAAGTTAGGCCAAGATCAAGACATGGATGTCAAATACTTCGCACAGGAAGCTATAAGTGGTAGGTCCTTCTGTTTTCTGCCTTACAGCTTTTGCTGTGGTTGACAGGATGTGAGTGATGTTAAGTGGGTGGGGCGATGAGCACGTGGGAGACAGGGAGGGCGCTGAGATCCTGGAATGCTGGTTCTCCTTCTTGGCCTACCACTGAGCAGGCCGTTTTCTCAGTTCCATGTCAAGGCTGGGCAGGAATGGGATTCTTACTGGTAAGAATAGTTTTTCAGTTAGATTTTAAAGGGTAACTTTTTGGTTAACCTGACAGAGAAAAGAAGCCACGACAAGAAGTTCATAGTCTCCTGCTTGTGCATCATTGTTGCGCTTAATAGTCACGTTAGATGGTTCATGAACTTTCTGTGTCACTAACTTGATTTTGTTTGGAATTTTCCAGTGCTTGCGTTGGCATGATGAGGAACAGGAGGGAAAAGACTTTACTAAATTCTTATCAGAGATTTCTAGTCAATGTGTTCTTAAACTGGGTGGAGAAACAGTGAACACCTTCAAGACTTCGTCCAAGCAAATGGCAACAACTTACAAGAAAACAAATTTCAGTGACTTGATTCTTTTCTAAAGATGAAATGGGATTGTTTTTACTTGTCTTTCTTGTTGCAGTAATTATAAACCATTCTTTTTGTTTGTGACCAACTCCTGATACTCGGTACAGTCGTTTCTTGATTGTCTCCTAGTGATTTATCCGGCACCATTTGGGCTCCTGCATCTTCGCTGTTTCATCAGGCCCTGGCCACTGAATATTCCTGCCTGGGCCCAGATGGGTTCGGACCCAGGCATGAAGTGGCGTGATTCTCTTGGTGTTTACTTATATCTGTGTGTCTTTCCATCATTCCAAAGTTTAAGTGTACCTGGTTTAGAATAACTTATTTTTCAAACCCTCTATTTGGGAGACACACTGAGATTTAACTATAGAGAAAGCCACATTTTCCTGGATAATGATGGTCTTACATGAAAGGAGAATGTGGAAGCTCAGAGTTCATGTTTGGTTGTTTTGTTTTTATTTCCTTGATTTTGACTGTAATCATGTCACTTAGAAACCTGAAGTGCAGATGTGTCTTGCTGCTAATGTGTGATGTTAAAAACTAACTGAATTTCCATGGCTTACACCACTGTGACTGTATTCAGAAATACTCTCTTCCCCACTTCCCGTCCTGAGAAACTTAAATTTTAGTGCTTCCTAATAAGCAGTAGTTCTACTGTATCTTTGTAAGACTGCAGTTTTGTATTTCTAATGAGGGAAGGAACCACTGGTGTAATACTGTGAGGATTTCCTGCTTTTAACATCATTCTGCTTCCAGCTGTGGTAACATCTGGTCCTTGCTACATTGTGCAGTTGTGGCTTTCCACACTGAAGTTTCATTACTACTTTTTGGTATGGGTGATGCTGGAGTCTTATCATTTGAAATCTTTGTTTTTCTGCTTTTTACAGTAAAACCTCATTAATTCCTCTTGGAATTTAATATGAGTAAGCCAGAGGAAGGGTTTCCTGGAGCAAAGTAGTATGTAAGGAAGCCTATTGGGTCTGAACTACTTAAACAATTTTAAAGCTCTCTTTAAAAAGCACCCGTTTACCAGTTGATACTCCAATTACTAATCACTCTTTTCAATTACATGAAAAAAGCTTTCATGAGGATTTTTATGAGGCCACACTTTTTTTTATGATGTATTCAGTTTAGTCTTTATCCCTAAAATATATTCATTTGTATTTCTTGGAGAATTTAAGTATTTTTTCATTTAAATTTATTTACATTGTCACCTAGTTAAACTGGCCTTGTCCCTAATGAATTTTAATTAATGAGGTTTTATTGTAGCTTATTTTTCTCAGTGCTTCCTGCTATGTAGTTAGCTTGTTTCCATTTTGGTTTTGGAATTGTTTCTTTTATTCATAACCTCTTTTAAACCCAGTGAACCCTGTTCTGTTTTTTGACGTCCCAGAGATGCCTATAAAACTTTGTACATTAAACCATTACATAAAGCCAAGTTTGAGCAAGTTACTTTCAAGTTTGTCTTTCTGTAGAAAAACAGAACATTTACATCAGAAATTGCCTGCATTTAAAATTGTCAAATTACCTTACAGTAACTTCCAATTTTATTACTTTTGGGACTAAGAATTAAATGTTTTCCTAAGCAAAAAATTTTTTATACATTTTCATTTTATATTTTAAAGTATTATGCTATAAACATTTTAATTTTAGTTTCATGGTTCTTTTGTTACCTGTAGGTTATGTTCCTCTTCATTGAATTTTATATTTCAGAGACTGTTGTCTTGATTCTTGAAACACATTTGTACAACTGTTACTTTACTCTTTGATTGGAAATGCCCTTATTTTGGGGATAGAGTTTTAAATGCCCTGGTATCCTCCCTGGGAGCCCTATACATTGACCTTGTGCCCTAGGTCTGTGGCAGTGTCCTTTGCTTTTTCAGACATGGGTCAGGGAGCTCAGTGGGGCTCTGCCTTTTTAGATGACTCCCTAGGGACCTCATTGCTTCCTTATGACTTAAACAGTAGGCAGTCTCATTTGTTTCTGTTCAGAGGAATTGTTTTTTGGCTTATAACTAGATCATTTTCTCCACGGGTTATCTTGGTTTCACTGGAATGTAAGCTCCAGGAGCTGGGAGAGGGCAGAGATTTTTGTCTGTTTTGTATTCTGCTGTATCACCAGCACCTGGATCAGTGTCTGGTGTACATAGGTGCTCAATAAAAATGTGTTCAACGCATTCCTACAGTCTGTCCTCTGATGTGTTGCGATCGTGGAACAAGTCATCAAAGGTGCCAGACTACGTCTCGTTCTCCTATTGACAAAACAAGAACAGGTTTTATTGCTCTTAAGAAACATGCTTTATGTGACCCTTCTCTAGTAAGTACCCTGTCTCAGGCAGCTGTTCATTTGGATTGGAGCAATTGCCCCCAACATAGATTGCTGCAATGCTTTCGTCCAAGGCAGTTCACATCAGTTGTTTGGTTAATTAGGAAAGGGACGCAGAGACAAACATACAAACCTGTCAATACAAATGTCTCAACAACAACAGAATTCACCTTAATGTTTCTTTGTATAATTTATGTGGAGTTTACTCATCACAGATTTGAGAGACTAGATCTTTCTTCTCTGTGCTGCCAAGTGGGTATGAACCCAAAGATGCATCTTGTTTCATAAGAATAAACAGGTTAATGTGTGGTTTCTTTTTTTAAGATTTTATTCATTTTTATTTTTAGAGAGTGGAAAGGAGGGAGAAACATCAGTGTGTGGTTGCCTCTTGCACACCCTCTCCTGGGGACCTGGCCCACAACCCAGGCATGTGCCCTGACTGGGAGTCAAACCAGCGGCTCTTTGGTTCTCAGGCCAGCACTCAGTCCACTGAGTCACGCCAGCTAGGGCAGTTTGTGGTTTCTAATGAGGTCCCGTTGAAGTCATACTCAGTCCTTAGCTCATGGAAATACCAGAGCTTGACCCCTATGGTGCATGGCCCTGGGGGTCTTTGCTGGACACTTGTCCTGACTCAAAACAGGCAGCAGCCTAACCTGTGAGCTGTGCTGTCCAAGCACTCAGGATAACACATAGACCTCCAGGGAGGAGAAAAATGTCATTGTGGCACAATGGCTAAGCTATGGCAATGCTTGCTTGTTTCGATTTTGTTTGTTAATCACTATGTGGTCACTGAGTTGCCCGTCAGGTACTTTTCTATAGAAACCACATTGGTGCCATCCCCACGGAGACAGCAGGGCAGGGCTGCCAAAATGCGATGGGTGCCTGTCCTGCCCTTCTGCTTTTTACTTAAATTCCTCTCACACTTTTGACACTTTTTTTTTTTTTTTCATTTTGATACTCTTACCTTAAAACCTATTTCTCCACTGCTTGGATATAACCCTGGGGAGAGAAGGACCTATTCCCTCCTTCCCCTTGGTTTAACAGATGCAGTGACTGTGGTCTGATGACATGTAATTTTTCCTTCTTGATTTTCCTATTCCTGTTTTCATCCAGTTCCTTGCCCCTCTTTCCTGTTCGCTCATATGTCTCCGATCCTTTTTTGTACCTAGAACAGTCCCTCTTTATCCCCACAAGCCTGCTGTGTCCAGGAAATTGCATAATGTTCCGTTGAGATGGAAATCTGGAGGAGGAAGAGAGCTTAATTGCTCATTGGGCAGAAAAGCTAAGTCATTTCTTTCTCCAGAGTTGTTCTTTTAATCTGATACTATCAGTGCTGAATGGATCCAGGTCTTTCGTGTCTGACTGGGGCTCTGCAGGCAGGCTCTCAGTGACAGATGCAGGGAAGCATCCAGCTGGTACTGTAGACTAGGTGGAGTGGCACTTTCCTTGGCTCTTGAGGCAAAGCACCTTCAGTAAGGTCCTGGTCAACCTGCTTTCTCTGCCTAGGGGACCCGTCCCCACTGCAGTGCTGGAACACCGAGGGCATCCTGGCTAGGAAGCAGAGGTGGGCATAGGAGGGGCGTGTGCTGGTGAGGAACAGTTACAGTGCTGCTGTCTATCTCCAGTGGTGGCCCAAAGGCTGAGGAAGCTAGATTTTCCTGTCAAGGGCAGTGAAGAGCCCAGCGCCCCTGGGGCTGACAAGAACCACTTCCTGAGACCCAGGGGGCCTGGAGAGGACACTGAGAAGGTAAGTGCCACAGACCCCTTGGGCCTTAGTCCTCCCTTCTCGTGGACTTAGGTGTGGGCAGAGGACAGCCAGCAGGGCCTGATGTTATCGCAGGCTGGGCAGAGTAGTGGTACCTTTAGCCCTGTCCCTGAGAGATAGTCAAGTTTTTAGGGCCGAGAGAGGATACAGAGTTGGGCAAAAGTAGGTTTACAGCTGTTTGTATGGAAAATACAATTATTATAAATAATGATATAAGAATAAACTTTTGCATACTCACGACTATAAACCTACTTGTCTCCACTCTGCAGTTTTAAAGCCTGTTGCCCTGTTTCTTATCTTCTGTTCTGGGAATGCCTTCTGTGGTGGAGTGGACTTTCCAGAGCTTGGTCATTGCTGTGGCTTGAGGTCTCTCCCCTTCTGCCTAGTCAGAGCCAGTGAGGCCCATGCAAAGTCCAGAGTGGTGGTTTGGTAGAGTTGCTTATGGGCTGTTTCCACTTATCTCACAGAATGGAGACAGTTCTTACTTGCTACAGTTCCTCTCAGGTCATCATTTCCATTCAAGGAAAAAGCCATTCCTGTCCATTTTACTGTGTTCAAATATTTCACAAGCCCCATTGGATGCCACTCTGGAAAAGGTGTGCAAAAATTCAAGTTTAAGCAAAGTTGGTGTAGGCCACTTGTCCTGGGGCTGTTCGTTAGGAGAGCAACTTAAAACTTACAGATACATTCAGAAAACAGCATGAGGCGCTCAGCTGCCGTGTGCTGAGTCCGACTGCATTTGGTTTGCACACAAGGTAATTGGCATTCTCCCACTGCAGTCAGTTTGCTCGGTGAAGATTTTAATGTCAAAAGTTTGCCTTCCAAATCTCCATGGCTCTTCCTTTATTAGAGAGGAAGAGGGAGAGGAACATCAATTTGTTCCTCCACTTACTGGTTGATCATTGTATGTGCCCTGACTGGGGATTGAACTCACAATTTTGGTGTATTGGGACGATGCTATGACCAAGTGAGCTACCCGGTCAGGGCAGGCTTTTCCTTCATTTCATGTAAACTGAGGCAATGCGAACTTCTTCCTGTTGTCCAGGCTCTGAACTGCCAGTTTTCATCCTATAATGTTCCTTTCCTGCGGTGCTGTGCATCGCTGTCCCAGGACCTGGGATGCCAGGTGGGTCTGAGTCAGGCAGCTCTGGGCTGTCCCTGTGGAGGGAGTGCTGGGGTGAGCTCACAGCCTCAGCCAGCCCCTGGGCCCTGACAGATGCCCTAGGGGGTCAGCCCTTCAAGTCCTCAGTCAGTTTCACAGAACTTGGCCTTAGGGAAGACATGTTGGCTGAAGGAGCAGGAGTAATAGTTGTGTTTTTAGATCTAAATCACAAGACTACCTTGGCAAGAAACGAGTTATGTTTTCCTACAAATTCAGGGTCAGCTGGTCGTGCCATTAAATGTATGGTGTGCCCCTGATCTGAGCAGGGGATGGGTGAGGCCGCACCCTTCCCCCCCGCCTTGGCAGACTCACTCAGGTCTGCAGGTGGTCTTGTCATGGCCACAAGCAGGGGAAACTGCTGCCATTCTTTGAGCCTCCAGCTTCAGTAACTGTGCAGGCAGGCACCTTGTCAAGCATTTGGCAAAACCTCCCTTAATCCTCACAATGACTCTAGGTGGTGTCAGCTCCATTTTCAAGTGGTCGTGAACATGTGCAACATCCAGACCTTCCCCCCAACCTTGCTGTGTCTACTTGGGGCACAGGCCCAGCCTTGCTAGGCCTATGAGTCTGCAGTTCATTTAACCCAGAAAAACTCCTTGCCCTGTGAAGCAGGGCTCTGGATTTTTTTCCCTTAAAGAAAGTGACCTGAGGGTGAGATGGGAAGAGTATTGGCTGTTGCCAGGCAGAGCCCTGCAGGTCAGGGGCCAGCAGCCAAGTGAGTGATCCAGGAAGTCATCCAATTGCAAACCAGAAATCATTCTTAACCCCTCACTCACTGTGCTGAATAGCAAACTGGCCCAACTGCCTGAATGGGGTCAGAGTGAACCTTGGCTGCTCAGAGCCCTGGGGAACTGCCCTTAGTTCTTGGCTCGCCTCAGGCTGCTGTGGGAGCCGTTCAACCTCCCGGGGTCTCAGGCCTCCTTGGTCCAAGAGCCAACGGCCTCAGTGGGTGGGAACCAGTTCCTTTTGGCGAAAGGTGCCTACTTGGTCCCTCACAGACTGGCCCTTGGTGTTTGCAGAGACATCTCTGCTCTGGATTTTGCATGTATCTGGGGCGTTGTGGCCACGTCGCATGCCCCGTCAACTCTGGGTCACCTCAGCTGCTCCTTGCTGGTGGTGGAAAGGTGGTCTCCCCTCCTGGCCAGTTGGGACTGTCCTGGACAGTGTGCCAGTTGCTCTCTGATGACACAGCTGCTGGTGGGCCTGTTAGGCAAGGGTTAATAGAGGATTTGTTTATTGAATCACAAAGTAGCTGTCACATGATTTTAATCAAAACACCATTTCCCTGACAACAGTGATGTCACTCTTGTTATTGCAGGAAGGAGCAGCTGTGAGGGATATTCGGTCTCCATGCTGAGCTCAGGTTTAGAGACCGAAGGTTATGATTGAAAAATTTGTTTTCATTGATTTTAGAGAGAGGATGGGGGGGTCAGGGAGAGTGAGAGAGAAACATCAATTTCTTCCACTTACTTATGCACTCATTGGTTGCTTTTTGTGTGCGCCCTGACCAGGGGCCCCCACCCTTGGTGTATAGGGACAATGCTCTAACCAACTGAGCTGCCTTGCCAGGGTGAGACTGAATCAAGGGAAGCATCCAAAAGTAATGGTTGTAGTCTCTGACTACTGAATCCACCCTCCTCTTCCTCTTCTTTGTCTGGATGGTCTGTGCTGCAGACACTGGCAGAGCCCAGCCCCACACCCTGAGTCTCCACGGAGGCCTCACCTTCTGCACACTGTGCTCTTTCTACCCTTGTCCCACTTCTGATTTCTCAGTTTTCCTCATTTCCCCAAACTCAAAAAGTCTCTGGGGCCTCTAGGATCTCCAGCCTCTGCCTCCTGACATCGTCTCCCCCCACCTCCCCACCCCCATTAACACTTGCTGGTGAACTGCTATTCCAGTTAGCCTGAGGTGGGGGTCATTCTTCGCTCAGGACTCTTGGCTTCTTTTGGAACCAGCTTCCTGGAGGAGGAGGGGCTGCCTGTCCTGTCCTTGTCTCCTTGAAAGCAGATTAAGGGGACCTGGGTGTGGCCTGAGGGTCTCCAGGGCAATTCTAAGGAGCTTGGCTGTGGCAAAGCTAGAGGATTAGTTCTCTTGAACCCAGAAAGACTATACAGGAGGCCTGCGCCCAAGTGAACTGAGGACTGACAACAGACCAAAGCCCGAGGTGGTCAGCAGTGGGCTGGTCACGGCCAGCTGGGGCGGGCTCTTCAGGCTTCAGCCTCCTCTTCACACCTGTTCCACTGTGGGGCCTTGGGGACGAAGCAGCTGTCTGCAGAGGAAGACCCCAGGCTCCCTGACCCTTCTCTACCCAGGAACAGGACATAAAAGGGGGAGAAGGATGAAAAAGGACTCTTTGTAGGTGTGACCGGATGCTCTTGTGTCTGCGGCATCCATGGCTGTTGCTGCCAAGGACTCATCACTGAAAATGAAGAAATATTGGTTAAAGTTCTGGGGTCTTCACCTGGAACTAATACTCAGAATAAGACAGCCATTCCTTTTTCTTTTTAAATATGTTTATTGACTTTAGAGAGAGAGAAAGGGGGAGAGTGAGAGTGAGAGAAACATGGATTGGTTGCTTCCCGTACGCACAACCTAGGTATGTGCTCTGACCAGGAATCAAACCCTCAACCTTGTGATGTAGGGGAGGATTCTCCAACCAACTGAGCCATACTGGCCAGGGCAGCCATTCTTAAATGTGCCAAGAGATTGTACAAGTACCAAGCAGCCATTCTGTGTGTCCTGTGTTGGGCCAGTTAAGAGTTAAATGAAAGCAAGTCAGGTAGAAGTGAGATACTATGATAAGCCATCAAGGGATGCTGGGGAGTCTTCTGGGTGCTTTCCTGTTAGAAGGCAGTATTATGCCAGACTGCGTCTGAACCTCGCAGTAAACCTAGGAGTCAAGTCAGCCAGTCTGTGTTAACAAGGACTGGTGGGCATAGTCAGCCTTTGCAATGATTTGCCCAGGATAGTGGCAGAGCTGGGAGAGGTGCCAGGGTTTGCTGCCTCCCCGCCTGTCCTTGGCAGAGAATGGGTGGACACCACCCTGCCTGGAGGGACTTTCTGGCTGGGGTGGCTGCTCCAGGAGGGGGGTTGGGGAAAGCCAGGCCCTGTTCTCTCAGCTTTGTTCCTGGATAGGCCCTCCTTGCCTCACCCTTTCATTCCTGGGGCCCCTCCAACATGCTGGTCTTTGGGCCCTCAGTGTGCTGGCACAGGGGCCCTGCTAGACATTAGGCTTCCCTACTGACCAGAGGGCAGGTCTAGCGGGTCCCAGATGGAAGAGATAGCTGAGGCTGTGAACTCCAGATACTTCACACTCTATGCTTCTAGGAGAGGCCTTGGGAGCTCTCCCTCAGTTCAGTTGTGTCCCAATCCCCAGCTGTGCTGGTGGCCCTGACAGGGCCGTGGACTCACTCCTGAGGGTCAGAGTGCTCAGCCAGGCCTCCTTGTTGGGCTTCTCTGGCCTCATCCTTCCCTCCTTTTTGGGGGGAGAATTAGGAGAAAGATTGAGTCAGAAACTCTCAAAGCCTGCCTGGTGGGTAGAGTGACTCAGTTCTCCCTTCGAGACTGAAGCCCTAATATCTTCTGGGCCCAGCCAGCCCTTGGGGACTCAGCTGTGGCAGGGGGCTGAGGAGGAGAGTCTGCTTCCCATGGTGCCAAGTCCTCCCTCCCTCTCTCTATCTGGGCTCCTGGCTTGGTGGCTCAGCCGTGCACCCAGTCTGCCCAGGCTTCAGCCTCTGCTCTGAGTCACTCAGGCCTAGGAAAGTCCCCTAGAAACTCAGACAACGGGAAGTATCAATACCCCCTCGGGGCACTGGCAAC